CGCCTTTAAACATTCCTCACTCCCCTCCCACTACTATATTCACTATACTGGGGGGTTGGGTGAAACCGCCTTGAGGCTGGTGCATGTGATAGCTGGCCTTCACTCCGGACAAATGTGTAAGGCACTCAGCTCTTTTCTGGAACAGACAGCCAAAGCAATAGGAGCCTCCCCCCAAAACACAGGCCACGGGCAAAGCTGGAGCAGGAGTTGATCCATGTGACCTAAGCAGTTTCCTGGGAGTCTGATAACAAACATAGGGCTTGGGATTGACTGGACTGCACAGGCGTGTGTGGGTGAGAAACACCACAGAAAGACCCAGAGAAGGCAGAAGAAAGCCAGGAGAGCCACAGAAGGACTTGTAGCATGACCCTGAGAAAAAGGTGCAAGAGCGAGAGCGTTGGGGCAGAGTGCTGTCTCGAAAGAAACTTGGATTTGTGAGCAATTAACTGTCTCCAGCTGTTTGAGTCCTACAGTGTTCAGGGAAACAGAACTTTATGTACATTCCTTGTAAATCAAGAGGATTGCATCAATGAAATGCCTGACTTAGTGTTTCCTTCTAACAGAAACAACCCACAGGATCCCAAATTTTGACTTAAAGCTCAGGTCAAAAGGGGTAATAATATTAAACTGTATGTATGCTTGTAGTCTCTCATGTGCTATGTCTGTGACATTAAAATCCTGCGCCACAGCTCAGGGTCTCTAGCAAAGTAGGAAGGAGAGGCAAGGAAAATGTAGTGCCTAACACTACCAGTCTGAAAGAACCAAAGAACGTGTGTTCCTAGATGAAATCTGGGGTAGCCTGCTAATATGGCGAGAAGTAAAAGGGAGACCAACGGAAAGGACATGAACTCACATGGGATCAAGGAAGCAAAGCAGCTCACCATGTAGTTGTTTGACAGATGTAAGTAAGCCGCTGCACACTCCAACAAGTAATACAAGCCTCTGGTGTATTCTCCCATCGCCATGCAGTGCCGGGCCAGGGGCACAAAAACAGACTCCACGATCTCTTCACATTCGCAGGATCCCAAGCGCTTGATCTTCTCCCAATCCCTGTCAGACTGCTGAATGATCTCGTCCAGCCTTTCCAGAAACTCCTTCTCTATCTCTTCAGCTCTGGCCGGAGACAAGATGGCAGAGAAGGGGCAGGATTCCCAGGTCACAAGGCTTTCTTGTATACTGGGTTTGGCAGAATTCACAGTTCTAAT